TTGGATTCTTCGTAATGTTAAATTGTGAAGCATTATCTGAAAATGTTTCTCTCTTTGTTTATTCGTCAGATCATACCTTTTGCATTTCGATTTTGGTTAGAAATCTAATTTACATCATCAATTGGCGAATCAGAATCGTTCACTTTTTATGATTCGTTTTTGATACCGCAAGTGATTCTACAGTGTTCATTGTTACGGATTGATTTTGATGCGAATCTCTCGTCTTCTAACATTGAAAAATGGACAGAACGCAGAGCGGAACTTTCAAAGATGGTGACCTTCGAGTGAACAAAGATGGAATCCAGACCGTGTCTCAGTCCCAACCCGGAGCTGTAATTCAGAATCTCTCACTCTCCTTCTCTTACACACTTGTGTGGTTAACTATGAGTAAAATTGGATGTTTTTTTTGGTTTTGCAGCCACCTCCTATCAAGCCATTGGACAACCAATTGAGTTTGGAAGATCTGGAAATGATCAAAGTCATTGGCAAAGGAAACAGTGGTAATGTCCAGTTGGTGAAACACAAACTCACTCAACAGTTTTTCGCTCTTAAGGTCGATTCTCTTCGTCTTTTTATATTTGTACCAGTTGGTGTTCTTCTTCTCTTGGTTGAACAAAAGATATATTTCAGGTCATTCAATTGAACACAGATGAATCAACATGTCGAGCGATTTCTCAGGAGCTGAGAATAAACTTGTTCTCACAATGCCCATATCTCGTCTCATGTTATCAGTCTTTCTACCATAACGGCCTTGTTTCAATCATCTTGGAGTTCATGGATGGTGGATCCCTTGCGGACTTGTTAAAGAAAGTCGAGAGAGTTCCTGAGAACATGCTTTCTGCCATCTGCAAGCGAGTACTCTACGCAAAATCTTTTAACATCTCTACCGGTTGCTATTTATCTTTCTCTAAGAAGACACATAACTAAGCTCTTTCTTCGACTAAACGCAGGTGCTCCGAGGCTTGTGCTATATTCACCATGAGAGGCGAATCATTCACCGGGACTTAAAGCCTTCGAACTTGCTAATAAATCATAGAGGTGAAGTCAAGATCACAGACTTTGGTGTTAGCAAAATCTTGACGAGCACGAGCAGTCTAGCTAATTCCTTTGTGGGTACATACAACTATATGTCTGTGAGTCTCCCCCTTTCACCTCTTAACACTCAGTTTACCTACATACTTGGTTTCGAGAGTCAATATATATATGAACTACCGGCATTATCATGTTTTTGCAGCCAGAGAGAATCAGCGGAAAATTGTATGGGAACAAGAGCGATATTTGGAGCTTGGGATTGGTTCTGCTCGAATGTGCAACTGGTAAATTCCCGTATACTCCAGAACATACGAAGGGATGGAGTAGCGTGTACGAGCTTGTGGACGCCGTTGTTGAAAACCCGCCTCCTCGTGCACCTTCTCATATGTTTTCTCCAGAGTTTTGCTCCTTCATCTCGCAATGGTGAGAATACTTGAGACATCTTCGAATGGTTCATGTTTTTTTGAGCAGGCATTTGAAATAGTGTTTAACTTTGTATAGTGTACAAAAAGATCCAAGAGACAGAAAATCAGCAAGGGAACTTATGGTGCGTACTCGCTTTCTCTATCCTTCTTTACAATTTCTCGCATACTTTTGATGAGTTCTTGCAATTTCTGGTGAATAGGAACACAAGTTCGTGAACATGTTTGAAGATTTTGATGCGAATCTCTCGTCTTATTTCACTGCCGCAGGATCTTTGATTCCCCCACTAGCTAACTAGAACCGAGTTTGAAGACTCCTTTTACGACTAAGTTGTAACTTATATGTTATATGATCCACCAGAAGAGATGTTTTGGAAAACAAATTAACGAGATGTTATATCTTGTGAGAGACTAAAGTCTTGCGTTCAAATGCAATAACTGGATGCAAATACCCAAATATTATTCTAAAATTGTTCATTTGATCACTTTAAAATCTGTGTTTTGATGTTGAGTTTAAATAATTCTATCCATAATAATTATTTAATTACA